TCTCTCTCTCTCTCTCTCTCTCTCTCTCTCTCTCTCTCTCTCTCTCTCTCTGTGTCTCTCTCTCTCTCTCTCTCTCTGACACAAAGACACAAAGACACAAAGACACACACACACACACACACACATACACATACACACACACACACACACATACATGCACACACACGCATACACACAATGATGAAATCGCTATAAATTGTTTTTGTTTTAAATAGCAGAAACAAAAAAAGGAATTAAGAAAGCGAACAATTCAAATCTATGGAAAGAATTCTATTGACCACCCTTTTAACCCTGGGCTACTCCTCTTCTTGGTTGACTGAATACAAGTCACATTTTCATTAACGTAACTTTGACATTTCTGGAGAAAAAACAAGCATCCCCAAACCCCCCCAAAAAAAAACCCAAAAAAACAACAACAACAACAACAAAGAAAAATATAATAAAATACAAAACAAAACAAAACATTTAACTAAGATTTTACTTATCTCTGTTCACTCAAACAACAATTTTTAACTTTTCGACTTCTTAAATTATTATTATTATTCTATTTTTATCTTTTGTGTGTCTGGATCGCTAACAAGAACAACAACATCTTTTGTGTGTGTGCGCATGTTGTACTTCAATTTACAGACCCGACCATATGTAGAATAATCTATATATAGCAGCACCAGCCATCCATGTCAAGGTGTTGTTTTAGTCTCTTGCCCTCTGTTTGTGAAATACATTATTATTTTCCTCCTCTAACTTTTATGCCCCTGATTCTACTTTTTGTGCACATTCCAGAATTCGTAGACTTCATCCTCTCACCGTGCATCGGACCTCAACGAAACTCCTTCTGCAGACGACAAACCAGCAAGCAAAGCAATACGTCACTTCCGCAACAACAACGACCACCACCACCAGACGGCAGACACGAGTCTCGCATGTCCACGCGAGACAGTGCCGGGTTTTTCTACACGGCCGACGTGACGCCACAGCCCGCCAACGTGCCAGATAGGACGAGCAGCGAGTCGTGGGTGCCCCCTGCCGGTGTGTACGCCCGGGGCTCCATGAATAACCGTGACTCCATGAACAACCATCTCGCTCTGAACAGTGAGGACAGCAGACTGTCTGCCTACCCTCCCGTAGATGACGGAGACATTTCCCCGGACATGCAACAGTTCCCACACACAGGCGACACGGGCCACAGTGAAAGATGAAACCAAACATTCAATAAAATAATGTGAGGCGTGCTGACAAAATGAGTTACTTCTCGGATGTTAGCCTGAAGGAAATAGATACATACTACGTCAATTTTCAAATAAGTTTTAGTAGAGTTTTTACGTCGCTCGCAACTGCATAAGGTCATGAGCGCCGAGGGGTGGATGTCAACAGAGAAGTCCTTACTGGGAATCAGACTTACTCTGCTCACCCTTCTAGCTTCAACAGCACAAAGTCTGCTTCGACTATCAAGGCACCCCGGAAATAGCAGGTCACAACAGAGTGACAAACATACAAAAGAAGTAGAGGAAAAATGACGATAGTAAGGATTAGGAAAGAAAAGGCAGCAGTTCCCCCAATGTTGTTGCACAGTATGAGCATGACATTGATAAATCAGCCCATTTACAATTCTACTATGCATAAGAACATGTTAATGTCCCTCCTTTGGGAATGGCCTAAAGACAGCTTCAGTCAGCAGCACCGCCCCGGGGGTTAAGTCAAATTTATAGGTTGAGTTTTTAGAATTTATTAGTATAAAATGATAAAAGACATTTTAAAACTTGAAGAGAATGGCATTGGTTAAGAATCTATAACTATGAACTTAGTGTTGATTTTCAGCCACATTCATGGATTGCGAGAAGTGACTCATTCTGACAGCACGCCTCATTGTAGTGATTTAAGTAATTATGTATAAATTATCATTCCTAAAGCATTACTGAGCCGTGGAGAAGAGACACAGTGAATGAACATTGCCTGCTGGATCGTCGTAAACATTGTGTACATTTATCATAACTGTATCATTTTGGTCTATTTGTCACTTTTAGGCACAAAGGGGCTATCCCGAAAAAAAATGCTGTTTTGAGAAAATCGAAGGTAAAGTTTTTGGACCCTTATTCAGTTTCTTTACAAATATACACACCTATGAAGCCAAACTTCTCCTATAGGGAGAGAAATGGCAACATTTGGAGCAGGTCAAGATTTCTGGGAACTCCCGAAATCTGGGTTAGCCCGCCGGTCCTTAAAAGCGATCAATTATTGTTATGTTTTCCCTAAAATCAATAACACCAATAGTCTAATACTATACGTAAGTAGATTGTTCTGTTATTCATCCACTATCGACTACTTCATCTTGACTTCCTCATTAATTTGCTCAGTGTGGCAACGTGGTGAAATCAGCCGCTCGTCAAAATAATGAACTCGAAGAAATCGACTTTCTATCCACCCTTTGAGCAATAACTGGAATTCCTTTTTTGTGTGTGTCTCAACACATTTTTGTACCCATCTAAAGCACATCTGCTGTGTGTGGTCTTTCCTGGAACAACATTTATCACAGGTACTCACAAAAATGTACAGAATCTGCAGTTTCCGGAAACTGAAACTTTGAAAGTAACCAAACATTGGCAGCTATTTCTAGGAACATTTGTTGCCTACTACTGACTCTAGGCAGCCCCTATCCCCCTCTCTCCACACACACACAGCTATTTCTTGGAACATTTGTAGCCTACTAGTGACTCGAGGCAGCCCCTATCCCCCTCTCTCCACACACACACAGCTATTTCTTGGAACATTTGTAGCCTACTAGTGACTCGAGGCAGCCCCTATCCCCCTCTCTCCACACACACACAGCTATTTCTTG